AGTTCATTCCAAATCAATTCTTTCTTTAGGAAAACTTCAAATTTACTATCCAGTATCCGTGAGAACATTGCGTGCGTTATTTGCCTGAACCATCGTGTAAAATATAAGCAAAGCTTCAGTCCCTGCATTGTTAGTCTCTTTTATTATCCATTTTATCGCTTTTAAACTGGCATTTACACATAAATAGGACTGAATAATAGCATCCATTAATATAAGTAACAGGTAGAATCAGTAATAGCAGGCTAAATTACATTCGAGGGCACGAGGGCAGCCACCAGTCTCCCAGAGTTTGCCTTTCTATCAGGACAGAAAATCCAGCACTACTGTGCAGGGCCAGTTTGTCCAAATGGTGCCAGGCCCGACCCAATGAATTTTCACAAATACAAACGCAGAAATAAAGGCATATCTGTCTACATATCTAATAGATATACATTTAACTATCTATTTGCCTGATTGATATGCATGTCTAGACTGATAAATATGCATTTATTTCTTTATTTATGCATGTCAAGCATACAAATATTCTTTGGGTCGGGCCGCGTTACAATTCTTAACAAACTGGCCAGCATCTCGACGATCCCCGAGGAGCTGCTGGCCTCCGTGGCAGACGAGGCGGCCCGAAGAGGTGTCTCGCAGGGCGGTTCTTAGGGAATTCGCCCTTATAGGACATGGATCTACCGCTTTATCACATGTAGGTGGAGCGCAGGGGGGTGAGGGAGGCGGAGAAAAAGTCTCGATGGGTTGGGAATGAATGTCCGTGAACTGCGCAGCGTTCGTCCTCGTTCCTCGCGCATTTTGCAGCACGCACACCATGACCACAGGAGTCCTTCGGCAATCTGCGCACACTCACGCCCTTTGCGCTGTTAAGCTGAGGCGCAAGGCGGCTTTCACGATCTAGCTCTCACGCAAAGAACAATTACAGTGTTGAATAAAGCATAAAAACATACCTAAAAGACATACACATGGATATGTACAAATGATTGTAGTAGAACGCAAGCTGTACATGTAATTGTGGCCGGAATTGCTTACCGAACTATAACATTTACCTCGACTCCTTCCTCCAGCTGATCGGAGAATTTTTTTATATGAGTAAAACTTCGTCCACTTGTACTGAAGATAATTACCAAAACAACGCAATTTCCAGGAGGGTAAAACAATAAAACGATATTTGTGGGAATAAAAGCAATTAAAAAATGACGTTGCTGCAGTTTCTCGGCCTGCCAAAGCGCGTAATCCGGCTGCCCAGTTCTGACCGGACAGCCTGGGATCCTACACGGCCCTCCTGCAAGACACTTCCCTGCAGAGGCTCTTGGCGCTCGGCGGGGCTTGTCAACGGCGCCGATAAGGTGCGCGAAAAGTGACATTCTCTCTCTATCTATCGATTTATTCATCACTGTTTATCTCTTATTCATTTAGTTTTACATATCTACTATCTATGTATCTGTCTCTTCTTCCTCCTCTTCTACCCCCCCCCCCCCGCGCGCTATTTCTCTAAAAATGACAAGCTCGTGACGGCGAGGAAACGCGGCGCCCATTTCCTCTCGCAGAGTGGATGGCCGATCGCTCTTCCTGGGAGCTCTAACCCATGATTTTTTTTTTTTTTTTTTTTTTTTTTGCCGCCGGGTGTCCACACGTCCATCCAGTTCAAATTGAACTTTATTTCAGTAATTCGCAGATTTCAGCTTCGATTCGACGTGACAGGCCCACTCATGTGATGGCACGGGGGGTTGGCGACAGGTGGGCCGCTGTCCCCCTGACGATCCCTTCGAGGCTACGGCGGTCGCCGCCGCCGGTCCAGGAGATCGCTCTTGTGCGTCGAAAAATCTATGTATGTTATTTACAAAAATATGTATAATATATGTATGTATCTATGTTACAAAAAATATGTATGACATTATATATATGTATGTATTCTATTTCAACTGCACTACCAAGATTTCCATTCAACAAAATAGAAATCAAAACAGGAGTTGAATACAGTAAAATGAAATGAAAATAGACGAAAAAAAACAAATATAATTTCGTTTTAATTACCCAACAATCCGGAGAGCTATTCATATCAAAATCAAAAACAAAATCGTTAGTTTTAAAATATCTTGCAGATTCGACCTATATATGGCATCCTTAATGCGATCACCAGGCACCGATGGAGAAAAGTGTCAGCGCACAGAGCGGAGAGGAAATGACGTCACTCATAGATGATCTCGGACCAAAAAAGCTCAGGACATGACGTCGGCAATGTGTTTAATAAGATTCAGTTACAGTCCATTCATGATGGAGTTAGATGATGTAATGATATACTGATACCCATGTACATTCTATCTCTTTCTTTCTCTCTCTCTCTCTCTTCTCTCTCATCTCCATCTCTCTCTCTCTCCCTCTCTCTCTCTCTCTCTCTTCTCTCTCTCTCCTCTCTCTCTCTCTCCTCTCTCTCTCTCTCTCTTTCTCTCTCTCTCTCCCTCTCTCTCTCTCTTCTCGTCCTTCTCTCTCTCTCTCTCTTCTCTCTCTCTCTCTCTCTACTCTCTCTCCTTCTCTCTCGTATAATTATATATATATAGATAGATATATATACTATATATATATAATATATATTATACTATTACTATAATAATAATATCTACCTACCTATATATAATATATAGTATATATATATATATAAAATATATTTATATATATATTAGTAATGTATTATATGTATATAATTAATACTATAATATAATACTATATATATATATAACTATATATATATATATATATATATATTATATTATATACACTAAAAGTACAAGGACATATATATAACTACATAACATAATACACATATATATATTATATATATATATATTATATATTATATATATATATATACCTAATTATACATATATATACAACACACAACACACACACACACACACCACAACACACACACACAGCACACACATATATCATATATGGTATGTATTATATGTATATATATATAGTAACATATATATATATATATATAGTATATATATGTATGTGTGTGTGTATGTATGTTAAACTATAATAACATATTATTATATTATATATATCATATTAATATATATATATATATTATATATATATATAACTATACATATATATATGTATTATATTAAATATATATATACATATCATAATATATATGTTATATGTATATGTATATTATATATATA